CTAGAAGAATAGGTACGATGGAAAAACTGATAGTCGAGGGTAGAGTTGAAGGAAAGAGACCTAGGGGAAGATCTACTAGCCGTTGGGTAGATCAAACAACAATATTGACTAACCAAGGGTTACATGAAGCCGAACAACTAGCCCAGGACAGGGAAGGATGGAGGGAGATCGTGAAAAAAACTATAAAGGCCTGATAGTCTCGCCACGTCCCAAAAGGGATTAGGACTGAAGAGGAGGAGGTGGAAACAGGTATTTTCTTCCTTTGCTCAGGCTTCTCCCATCTCTTTTTGAAGAGCACCGCTTGAGTTTTCTCGGAGTTAATGGCAATTTTCAGAAGCGGGGAAGGACCGTTCCCTGCAACACTCCAGCCTCCGGAATCCAAACAGGACTTATCTTATTCGAATTCTAAAGCTTCAGTTGCCCAAGTACGGAGAGATCAGTCTTGTCATGGCTTCCACTGTATCCATAGCCTCTCATTTTATATGTCAGTCCTTTATGCCAGACTCTATCGAAGGCTTTACTTACATCAAAGAAGACTGCTTCTGTGTACTGCTTATCGTTAAATCCGCTATTATATACTCCGTTAGTCTGAGAAGCTGTAATTCCTCTGTGGTTAGAGCATTCAAAGATATCTCGTTTTTTGTGTATAGTGAAAAGTATTCCAATACATATTCCCATCACTGGGAGAGATTTCGGTGTCCATATTTCTTTTATGAGCTGCTGTAGCACCATTTCGGTATCGTAGCCACATTCTTTATATAGTTCAGCTGGGAGATTATCTATTCCAAGTGATTTGTTACGAGGTAGTAACTTCTTCATATATATTAAGTACCTGGGGTCTGATATTTCTACCGAAGAAGTATAAGCCGCTCGTTCAAAGGCTTTTCTGATCGGCTTCCGGCGTGAGATCAATCGGCATTTTCGCTATTTGCAATTCTTCTCCGTCACAGGTTGCCGGGTTGGTATGTGTTTGAGCTCAGTTTCAATCCTTTCTGCCTTTAATTTTTTCGTCCAAATTATGTATAGTCATCTTTTTAATATCATCCCTTGGCTGATTCTCGAGTGCGTATAACTATTCAGGGAAGAATCGAAGGGAAACGTGATCAAGAAAGACGAAGAACATCAAGCGATCATGAACTGACAATGTATTCTGTAGATGTGTGCTGAACGCTGCGTATACAATGCTTGTTTAAACAAGCGAGTACTTTGCAATAAAAATTAGAAGAGGAAGTAAAATACATAAATTTACGCCATAACTCAAAATCACTTATGTCGAATCCATTTAAGAACCTTGAATCTTTTTATATAACATTATATCCCCGGAAATTCCTTCACTGTCTACAATTTAAAATCGCTTAGGGTTTTTTGCATTTGATTCTCAGACTACATTATAATAATTATAATATACTAGACAACAACACATCCAAATAGAATAATTAATTTTATTGCTATTTTATCGCTATATTTTATTATTCTGGCTATCGCTTTATTGAGGCTTATAACTTTCCGTCGCATACAATAATTACAAAATAATATTCTTCACTGCATTTATTGAAAATTATGTTTTCGCCCCGTTCTTGGAGGTCTAGTTGTTGCAGGCACCAGCGATACTTTGTTGGAAGAACAAAAAGATGACTAAAAGTAAAAGATGCGATGTGGACAATAAAAAAATTGAACCACAAGTAAATTTGCCGATTAAAACAAAAAGATTTTCCGTTTGATTAACACTTTGACTGCCATGAGAAGCATGCCGTGAATCAGCTTTTGATTCTCGCTTGTATGTTATTTATATGGGATAGAAATATGTCCGGCTGGAAGGACCCTCTTTTTTTCACTATGGCGGCAGTCTAAGTGTTAAGATCAAAAAACAAGTTAAACAGGTTTATTTGTTATGTTACTGAGTTGATGTGGAAAAAATTTCTTTGCAAAAATGATTGGGGAATATTTATTTAATATATTTTCCGAAAAGCTGAAACATATCCGTTAAAAGATGCCATATATTTTAATATGAGAATACCTACAGTACATTCAACAAACTTACACCTCTAAACAATTAACGGAATTCGCAGAAAAATTTTCGTTGTAGGTACTGGAGTTTTCCATGTTTTCTCAACACTTTGCTAAATTTTAGATATAAAAAAATATGTGTGTCATTAACCGGTTGTTCATAGTTTTGCATATTTTGTTACATTTTTTTTAATAAATAATATTCTTGCATATATTTAACTTAAATTTCTTTCAGCTACTTGTTTGATAATTTTTTTTCTGAAACAAATACTTGCTAAGGAAAATTATTTATATTCAAAGTAGATTATCAAAGTACTAAAATATCACTTTTAGTGTATATATATATATATTATATATATATATATATATATATATATATATATATATTATATATTTAATGCATATATATAATATATATATATATATATTATATATTATATATATATATATATATCGCTATATTGTAAATTAAACGTGTAGTTTGAAGATACCATCATGCCTAGACAGGATATTGATGAATTAATTGTAAATGTGCATAAATACTTTACCATGGAAAGACAATGGTGAATCTTTAAAGTCATTATTATGTATAAATCAACGCGCACTAGGGATAAGTGAAAGTAAGCCAAAAACTGTAATGAAGACTGTCAGAGATTCTCAAGAAGATCATACTGTAACTAAGTATCACAAAGACAAGAAAACAATTCGTAAACATTCTAGGAGCATTGACTTACCTGATGGAGCAAAATTAGAAATTTTCAATATTTTTTATCAAATGCGTGAAAACAATCAACTTGTCAGTCTAGATACTTTACTGGCCAAAAAATGGGAAAGACAAGTTTCTGAATTTAATGGACTAGCCTTTAAGAAATTGTTGAAAAATTTAAGATCTCTCTAGATCTGAACATGCAACATTCGTATACTTAGATGAGACATGGGTATTTGCGAAGGGTGAAAGTAAAAGAATTTGGCAAGACGTCAGCATAAAATCAATAAAACACACAAACAGCGAAGGCAAAAGACACTTAATTCTTCATGCAGGAGGGAAAGAAGGCTTTATAGAAAATGCAGATTTGATTATAGAATTATAGAAAAATATACAATAGCACTAAAGGCCTTAGAGGCCCATAGCTTAAAAATGTTGTTCTTTCTTCATTTTCGCTTTCCTTTATGTACTGAGATCTTCTCTGGCTCGATATGTGACTTTTCTCCATTCCTTCTTGTTATTCATTTTTCTTTTCTGGCCGTCTAGTCCAATTTCTTCCATATCTTTTTCTACCTCCTGATCCCATCTATTTTTTGGCCTTCCTTTTCTCTTTTTTAAAGTTATAGTGTAGTTTAGTACCCTTTTTGGAGTCCTCGTGTTCGGCATCCTTTCTAGGTGACCTCGCCATCTTAGTCTCTGTGCCTTTATGACTCCTATTATGTTAGGTTGATTATATAATTTCTTTAACTCATCAATTGATCTTTTTATCCATAAACTGTCTCTTATTATTCCTCCATATATCTTCCTCAGGATTTTCCTTTCCCGTATCTCCAGTAAATTTTGTTCATTTTTTGTCATTGTCCACGTCTCACTGCAGTATGTTACTATTGGTTGTAATAGTTGTTTTGTATAACTGTATTTTTGCCTTTCTTGATAAAAATTTGCTTCTCAACATTTCACTAAGAGCATGTACAATTCTATTGCCTGCCATTATTCTAGCTTGTATTTCTTCTTTAATGTTAGGTTTACGTGATATTATTGTACCTAGGTATGTAAATCTTTCTACCATTTCGAATTCGTATGATGACTTTCTTCTATTTCTACTTTAAACTTTTGTTCCATCCCTAAACTGATCATCTGTCCACTGCATACATTTTGATTTAGTTTCATTTATGTAAAGTCCCATTTTCTTTGCCGCTTTTACTACTCTCTGATACTATCACCTGTAGCTCTTTTTTTCCTCTTGCCAGCAACTACATCATCCGCAAATGCCAAAACTTGGTGTCTTTTGTGATATAGGAGTCCTCTCCTATATCATAAAATTAATAGAAGACTGGGTGGATCCGGGAAAATAAAATTAGTGAAATTAATCCAGTGATTATAGATTTACATAATGATATTATTTACATAATAATACAGGCAAAAATATTCTAAACAAAGTAATTAATTAAAAAGATTATGGAGAACTCAGTGCAGTTTACGTGCCTTTACAACAACGAAAGGTTGTCTGCGAATTCCGTTAATCGTTTAAAGGTGTACGTTGGTTGAATGTACTGTAATTATTAAATATAGTTCTCAAAACACAGACATGTGATAAAAGATAAAATATGAAAAGGCATGTGGCATCTTTGTTTGTAAAAGTATTTAACACCTACTTAAATATTTTATTTTTAACATTTCTTATTAATTTATTATAATATGACCTATTCAGTTACATATTTTAATTGCTTATTTAAAATCTACTTTCCTATTTGTAAATTCCTACGTTGAAATTGGCTAACTCATATTGTTGATGATGAAGTTGATAGTTTTAAAACCTAATTTATTACGGTGCCCTAACTATTCCCTGTACCACCCTACAAGTTTTTGCGACGTGAATAGGAATTCGTACTTTGCAGAACAGACAGAACCGGACAGCAGTTAACAAGACCTTGCGGCGAACACATGCACAAGACGCTACTGTCGAATTCACTCGATCCTCTCCTTACGCCACGATGAGGTTAGACGCTGATTCCATATTTCTGCCAATCAGAACCTTCAAAATGGTGAGTGCGATTCTCTTACAAATTAATATCAATTTATGAGTTATGCCAATCATTTATATTTTATCATTATTTATTATTTTAATTATTAACCTAGCCATTTTCAATACATTCTACTTAAACACTCTTAGATCGTGTTTTTTTAATATGTCAAATCTTTAACAGCAATTAACTGAAAATTGATATGCTTGAGATAAACGTATATAATTTATATATAAAAAACGGTTGAAAGTTGAAGTACTTACAGCATAATTTAGTCCAGTGAGATCAGCATCACCGTTCTGTAGCCACTCGTAAAATTCCATGGCGTTATCAGTAGGATCACCCTCACCGTAAGTAGCCAGACAGAATACTGCTAGTGAGTTCGGCAGATTTTTTAAATTGACTAATTCTTCCTGTAAAAAAAATAGAAGGTATGAGACACTACTTATACTGTTACTAAAGAAAAATGGAGACATTGATTTCGCGCACGTAACTGACATTCGCATAAACAATCTCATCAACTATAATATTACCAATGCATAGACTAACAGCATCTGAGAAAACCACAGAATATGCCTGTATTAAATTCTTTAATAAACTGCCTTACAGCATCAAAATAAAAAACTGACATAAACAAATCTGTAGTCTGGTTTTAAAGATGGCCAACTCCATTTTTTTGAAATTCAGATTATTGACGGATTCTTGTGTAAAATAAAATGGGGAATCCAAATCCAAATAGTTTTGGTTTGAATGGTACCCTTGGTTACAAAATTGGCCAGCTCTGTGACAAAAATGGCCATTCCACAAAGCACCAATCATGATGGCTTCATTCTGTCACGTGACCTCACCGCCTCAGGTGAAACAGAAGACAGTAGAGAACTGAGCTATTCTGGTGTGTTGTGACTGGCGTTGTTTTATTGTTTAGTATTTTAAAGTTTTACTAATATACTAAAAAGATATTACTGTAATAAACCTGCAGAAATAACATGGAAGGAACTAATGTTAAAGAATCTCCTTTGTTGAAAGGAAGAAAGAAACTACCAAATCCTTCAAATTGGAAAAGAGCCAAACAGAAGATTTTGAGGTTAGTATTAAACCATAACCTAACATTGAATAAACTAATAGACAAACTTAAATAACATTCATTTAAAATTACTATTACTTAGGCCTAGGCCTAGTTATTAGAGTGAAAATGGAACAATTTCTAGTAGGCCTAACCTATTCACACTTCACATTATTTTTCTTTAACTTATGTTAGAATAAAATAAGTTTCCCTGACATAAAACAGTTTGTATTTTGGTTTTGAATCCAATGTTTGTTTTAGGTACAGTTCAAAGGGATTACCTGATGCTCCTTCGTGTGGCCACAGAGGGAAGAAAAATTGCAGTTTATTGAAAGATGCAAGATATAAATAGTTTCATAGTGCATTTTATTCTGAAAAGACAAAAGCCAACCAAGATGCTTTCATTCTTAAGTATTGCACAGCAGAACAACCAAAAAGAACCAGACCAGGAGACGGATCAAGACATACTAAAGGCGTAACCTACCAATATTGTATTGAAACAACAGCAGGAAATAGATTAGAGATATGTAGGAACACGTTTATTAATGTATTGGGAATCACAAAACACAGAGTTGAAGGTGTTTTCACAAGATTTAAAAAAGACGGATGTCTCATCCCCGTGGAAACTCGATGTGGTTATAGGAAGGCTAACATATATCAGAAAAAAATTGATTCTGTAATACATTTTGTAAAGCAGTTTAAAGGCACAGAATCACATTACAGTAGAGCGAGGAGTACTCGTATTTACCTTGATTCCACCCTGTCTATTTCTAAAATGTGGAAGATGTACGAAGAATCTGTTGTTGATGAATTTAAAGTTAAAGAGTCGTTTTTCCGACACATATTTGTAACTAGGTTCAACATTAGCTTTAAAAGGCCTTCGACAGATGTGTGTTCAACCTGCCTTCAGTACAAAGAAAAAATTAAAGTTGAAAAAAATGAAGCAATATTGCAAACGCTTAAAGCAGAATACACTGTTCACACTACCCGTGCTAAAGGGTTTTTTAACCTTTTGAAAAAAGATGAACCTAATGTTGCTATAATGTCGTACGACATGCAAAAAAATATGCCTCTGCCAAAGCTCCCACATCAGAGTGTGTACTATTCAAGACAGTTATACTGCTATAATCTGACGATAGTTTCTGGATGTTCTACTGGAACCGAAGCTTTACGCAAAGAAAATGTATCAATTTACTCTTGGGCCGAATACGAAATGAAAAAGTCTTCGAATGAAATAGCCTCTGCAGTATTTGAAGAACTTGAGTGCAGATCTAAATCTGGTTACTTTGAAGGAAAAGACACCTTAAGGATGGTAACTGATGGATGTCCAGGCCAAAACAAGAATACTATTGTATTAACGATGTGCATTTCTTGGCTGCACAGGACTAAAACTTCAATCACTACAGTGGAGCTTGTGTTTCCTGTTACCGGTCACTCATATATGCCTAGTGATAGAATTTTTGGTGGCATAGAACGAAGTTTAAAGAAAAGAGATACAATTGTGCAGCTTGAAGAGTATCATTCAGAATTTAGTAAGCATGGGACAGTCAAACTTTTAGGAAAAGACTGGACCAACCAAGATTGGAAGTCAGAAGCTAAAAACTGTGTTAAAGACCCAAAAATCTTCATTTCAAAATTTCACAAGTCAAAAAGTTAATTCTGACCAAGAAACAAAAGTCAGTAACTGTCAGTGGCGAACAAAACTATAGTTTCCCAATTAATTCAAGTTTGAGTGTCATGAGACCAGGGAAAAAAGTGTGGAATATAAACCCAACTGAACTTACGCTTGGAGTCAAAGTAAATGCGTTAAAAATTAAAGACGTGCGGGTTTTATTACAAAAACATTATGGTGAAAAATGGAGTGAAATGGAAAATGTGAAATGGTATCACGAAGTGATAAACAATAATGAAATGATGCCTGAAAATCCACTTCCTGAATGTGAGTGCTTAAATAATGCAGACTGTGATGAAGTCATGGAAGTCAACCAAGTTGTAGTGGACTTTTGATTCAGAATTATTGTAAGATTCAGATATTGTCTACCGATCAAGCAGGTATCTAAAGAACTTTTGTAGTTAGTGTATTGATCGGGTTTTTAAATTTTATTGACAAATATTGTATTAGCCCAATTAATTAATATTTGTAACACATATTTCATTTTTTGTTATTTCACCAAAAAAATTTTCAGTATATTACTGCTGACTTAAGATATCAGCGACACCATCAGCAATATTTTTGGTGACAAAAACGTCTATCTCCACATGTTGGTTACAAACACGGCCATATTTCAACGTTAAATATCCCTTTAACTACAGTAAAAAGCATAAATATTAATATTCCAAGATGCTCTGGAAATCATTATTAATCAACAAAAAAATTCAACTGTACCCATTGTGTGGAAGTAGTTTAAACAGTTTCTTACCTATACTGAAAATTTTGATAAATGTAGTTGGCCATCTTTGAAACCAGGCTACAGAAATATAGAAATTATGTTCAACAGTTGCTCATACACGTTGAATTGTACAAATTGGAAGAATACCTTCAAGCTGACCTGTGGGGAGACTGAGGGCTCTTATCTGAATCTAAATGTCACAGTTATTATTATTATATTTTAATATTACTTTTATGTTAAGTGGAGATTGTTACAACAACCATTATAAATTGTAATTGACACCATTCTCTCTATTGACAATTTATATTTGTGTGTAACTTCTGAATCCTGAGAATAAAGCTTTTTTCTTTTTCTATTTCTATTTCTATTCAAAATTGACGGTTGCTGAAGCTTGTTTTTGAGAGACACGGTTCATTCTACACAAAAAGTGCTAATAAACATTACGTAAAACTGGTAAACTTTTTTGCATCCTTTTTGAAATCCCAAAATTAATATTTTCGTCAAAATTCAGCTTGTTCGTATGATTTTTAGAGGTTCAGTGGCATTTTGGTCTTTGAAGACTTGAGTATAACTTTAAATAACAAAAGTAAATTTATATCCTAAATTTCTTTGTTTATATAACCCAGATAGATAATTTATAATTGGAAACAATGCCACACTACTTTTAATGATAATTTAAGTGAATACCAATAATATAATCTCGGAATTTTAATGGTTTTTGGTTAAATTATTTACCATATTCATATCCGTTATTAATAATATAATTCTGAAGCTATTTGTGGCGTTTTTTACGTTGACTAATGTATTTTTTCTAGGAATAGAACGCAGTAGTTGTAACTAAAATTAGACATTTTATTGACTTTGGATTTTCAGTGCGGCCTATGTGGTGTTTTTGTTAAACATACACGTAAGGCATTGTTAGTAATTTTCTATTGTACTACCTTAACCGGATGTGTTTTATTTCAATTACATCAGGTATATTTCTGAACGCCTTTACTATAAACAGTACTAACCTAGTCAAAATAATTCGGGTCACGCATCTTTGCGTCTGCATATAAAATAAGGAAACGAGCCATTCAACAATGAAATCTCAATCTCTTGAATTCCTCATTTATTAGTTATAACGTGGCGGTTTGGTCATCTTATTAGAATTTTTTGTCAGCGGGAAATTTGTGTATAACTGTCAAGTTCTCGAAATAGTTGATTAGTGACGTGACGGTCATATTTATGTAAAAAAAGGGAAATACACCAATCAGTGTTTAAATGGTGTGTGCAGCAAATACGGGAGTTATCTGATAAATCACGAAATATTTATTGTATATTTACTATACTCTATAAACAGGTTTTTTGGAAAAATTTATTTTAAGGGCGATTCTTAATGGTTTAAAAACGGTTATGGGTGATAAATTATGTTTATGTAATCAGAATTTATAAATGATTAGCCTCATTTTTTAACACTTTTATCAAAGGGTGGTTTCCACTCTTTAACCCTTTCATAGGCAGTGGGAAGTATAATTCCCACCACAGAATATCACATCTACAGGCAGTGTACATTGATTTTCCCACTGTTTGAGGCTGCTGCCACCTAGTAGTTATATTAGTAAACCTATAAAATATTACTTTGAAGCTGACGCACGTGCAATTATGTTCTAGTTGTGAATAAATAGTTACTTAAATGAAAAGTAAGGTGACTGCTAAGGATTTTAATATTATTTTTCTGTTCTTTTGACTTTTATACAGACATTCATATAGCAACAATGATAGTAGAACATATTTGACGTATGCTAAATCTATGTGGGTTATATGCTTCCCACCGACCATCCTCGTTGTTCATTTTTATTATTTTATATTAGAAATGTTGGGTCTAGATAACCCCAGAGATGCTGAGGCTAAATTAGCTTATTTATATTCTCTACCTGACAATGAGGTTCATTCAGAAGAAGAAGCAGATGAAGGTGCTTTCGAAAAATTTGAAAATTTGGAAGAAAAATGTTCAGATTCTTCTGGTGTGAATACAGCCTGTTTGGAATCTTCACATGCTCAATATTCAGGTAATTTATCTCTCCCTTCACCTCCGTTACATTTTCAACCATCTGTATCGGAATTTAGTGAAGATGAAGAAAGTGATGAGAAATGGGATCAAAACACAGATTTCTTTAACAACCTTGCACTTGATTTTTCCAAAGATGCCAATTCTGCATACGATTTTAATATTGAAGGCAAAGAAATCGATTATTTTACCAAAATTTGTGATTTAAATATTCTTGATACGAAAGTTTATCAGACTAATCTATATGCAAAGTAGAATTGGCCTAGAAGGGTTAAGAAGACAAATCAACCCGGTCTATCTAATAATTGGCAAGATACAAATCTAGAGGGAGTGAAGGCCCTAATTGGAGTACTGATGATAAGGGGAATACATGTACTTCCTCAGCTTTCCAATTAGTGCTCCACTGATCCATATTTAGGCGTATCAGCAGTTTCGCAAGTATTTGGATCTAAAAGATACAAAAAACTAATTAAAAATTTAGACTTAAACAACAATGAAAATGCAGTGCTTCAAGGAAAACCTTTTTTTTGGTAAACCTGTAGGCGCATGCCACTCGCAACAGACTTGTTCTGTCTACTCGTTTCATAAGAATCCTATAGGCCGTTATCTCTACCGCCTCGCTCCAGACTGGTGCTGCGTAGAGAACGATAGACTGTACAACACCTTGTAAGGCCCTCCTCCTTTCGGATTTGGGTCGTCCAATGTTCGGCATCACTCTCCCCACCGCAGCCGCACTATTCGCAGCCTTTCGGACCACCTCCCGAACGTGTTCCCCCATTTTCCATTCTGGTGCAATGTCACTCCTAGATACTTTATTTGTTTCTTTTGTGTTAGACATACTCCCGCACATTTTAATTCAACACCTTGCCTGTTCCTTGTCCCTTTAGAATAATGGCTTCGGTTTTCTCTGCCGCAAGTTTTAGTGCTGCGTCATCCATTTCTTTACGACGCCACCTGCGTTCCGAACCCTGTATTTGAGATCTGGCTCATCCCGGGCTACTACCAGTACAGCGAGGTCATCCGCGAATGTGAAGGGGGTTGTACCCTCTCCGGATTCACAGTGCATAACCCGTCATATGCCAGATTCCATAGCGTCAGGCCCAAGACAGTTGCCTGGGGTACCCCAGCCGTCACGTCCACGATCGTGCCCTTTTCCACCATAATTCTTCTCTCGGACAGATACTCCGCCATAACATTCATCAGGTAACCAGGACATTCTCTCTCCTCCATTGCCTTCATTACCTCGTTCCACTGCATCGTATTGAATGCATTCTTAACATCAACCAACAGCAGGGCCGCCCAGCGATGTTCATTCCCTCTGTTGCGCAATGCTTCAAGTACACTCATGATTGCATCAATCGTGCTTTTCCCTTTACAAAAACCAAATTGCCTCCGAGATAAACCCGTTTTCCTCGAGGAAAACCTGGATATGACAAATTGCATAAGGTGGGATCACTTGTAAACCACTCATCTTACTTAGCTATTGATGAATCGACGATAGCGTTCAAGGGCAAGTAGATCATCAATATAGGCTCAAACAATACAGGCCTATGAAAGCCTGTCAAAGTAGACTCAATTACAAGCTATATATACAAGTTCCATATTTGCACTGGAAGGTCAGCAGACGTTGACGGTGCAAAAAACCTAGGTAAAGAGATTTTTATAAACTTGTAACCAAATGTAACTAATCACTTACCATATCACATTCTTCGGGATCGGCGACCATACCCTTCATTCGATACCGAACTCCCTCTTTAGCGAGCCGACCGGCAAATTCCTCACCGGTTCCGGTTTGACTTCCATAGAAGACTACGAGACTCCTACCTGAAGACTGGAGTTTCTTTATGAAGGAGTTGTCTGTTGATGTTTGGAGGTTGATAGAGGTGGGTCTGAAATAAAAGAAAAGTTGCAGTTGGTAGTTAAATTGAAAGTACATTTCTAGTACACAGTTGATGTTTTACACATTTCAGCCATAAAGTGGTAATGTTTCAAGCTTTGTATACGTTTGGTGAACACAGTTCTCATGCTTTTATATGCGTATCTACAGTTTACGGCTAAATTCTGACGAAGCTGTTTGAGACTTATTCAACAGATGATTGTACTATGACCGATTTTTTTTTTTCAAACTAAATGTTTGTGTTTACATGTTTCAGTGGCGCACCCAGGGGGATTTTGGGGGTTAAACCCCCACCTCCGCCCAAGGCACTATTCTGACACTGCTACTCACAAATTTTAAGGACTAAAAATGGAGGTTAGCATAAAAAAATTTCGGTGCCCAAACAAAACCCCTACCACAGGAAAATTCTAGGTGCGCCAGTGACATGTTTTTATTATTAAATATTGTGAATTTCAGCAAAATATAGTTTCAGTTTCTGACAAAACACTTCAAATGTATAGCCATTAGCCAAAGTGTTAAAGAAAGCATGTAAAAATGAGTAGTGAAAATTTAGAATGAAATATCTGAAGAGGAAATGAGAGGAGTCAGACGAGACGAGGATCTAACTCTTGTTCTGGAGAGATCGTACTGAAAGAGAGAAACAGCTGGGATAAATGCGAATGAATTTTTAATTAATAGTATTAAGTATGCTCTGTCTAGACAGAATAATAGATAAAAAGTAACTTGCATTCCAGAATATAGACTCTCCATTAACCCGGCGTCACCCAGTTGGGGTCTAATGGTACCCCCAACACACTTAGAACTAGCATAATTATATGGTTAATACACGGATGTTTTATTGGTTGCTTATAGCTTCCTAAAATATGTTGCCGTTGGGTATTTTGAACCAATTTCAGTTATAAGTTGATCGTCAAAGTGAGTACAGTGTTCTGCAATCCGATTAGTCCCCACCTGGGTGACGAAGATACCATTTCAATTCGCAAGGTAACTAAGACAATTTTAATTCGTGGCGTTATTTGTTATACATATAAATTTTTTCTCTAGAATGAATTAAGAAAAAGAACAAGCCAAAACTATTGGCACTTTGGCAGGAACTCGAAGATGATGAAACCGAAATTATGGACTCCGATGATGAATACGAAATTGATCACATAAGTAATCAAAAAGTAAACAAAATAAAGAAATTGGGGAACTAGAAGTATTGGAATCTGAATATAAGCCATAAAAAAAATAAAAATATCCTTATTATTTAGGTAGAGATTCCAAAACACAATGGAGAAAACACCATGTAATAAAGCAGATTCGAGAGGCAAAAGAGAGTTGGCTCTCCGATAGGTGCAGGGAAATAGAAGATCTGGATAAAAAGTACGATAGCTTTAATTTACACAAAAAAAATCAAAGAAATGACAGGTTCTAGAAAGCGTACAAAAACGAATATCCTTAAAAATGATAAAGGGGATATTATTACTGATATGAAGGAGAGATTATGTCACTGGACCAATTACATTCAACAACTATTTAATGATGAAAGAGAAGAACTGTCATTAAAAATCACCGAGGATACCGGACCACCAATATTAAGAAAAGAAGTCATCTATGCCATCAAAAACATAAAAGAGGGTAAAGCTACTGGACCAGATGGGGTGCCCATCGAATTATTAAAACTCATCGATGAAGATGTTATTGATGTAATGGTGGAACTCTTTAATCTAATATATCAGACTGCTACAATCCCCAGACAATGGCTGCAATCAACCTTTGTAGCAATTCCCAAAAAAACAAGTTTAACAACTTGCTCAGACCACAGAACAATAGCTTTAATGAGTCACACACTTAAAACATTTTTGAAAATAATTCACAGCAGAATTTTTAAAACTCTTGAATATGAGATTAGTGACACACAATTTGGCTTTAGAAATGGTATGAGTACAAGAGATTCTTTGTTCGGCATGAATATGCTGGCTCAGAGATGCATGGACATGAATCAGGTTATGTACTTATATGTAGACTTTGAAAAGGCATTTGATAAAGTTCAACATAAAAAGCTTGTAGATATATTAAAAAGCAAACATATTGACAGTCGTGATCTGAAAATTATATCTAATTTATATTGGAATCAAACTGCCAAGGTAAGAGTTGACAGCCAGTACACCGAAAATATCAACATACAGAGAGGAGTCCGCCAGGGTTGCGTGCTGTCCCCACTACTTTTCAATGTCTACAGTGAAGCGGTATTTCAAGAAGCGCTCTCAGACTCAAAAGAAGGTATATTTATCAATGGAGAAGTTTTTAATAACTTACGTTTTGCAGACGATACAGTAATAATTACGGATAACAACAATGATTTACAGAACGTAATGCAACGCCTTAATGAACGCTGTCATGAGTACGGACTGAAGATAAATTTAAAGAAAACTAAATGCATGATCATGACTAAATCTGCACATGCAAATATCCAATTGACTATTGAAGATACTGCAATTGAGAGTGTTAATAACTATAAATACTTAGGAACATGGATAACATCAGGTGTAGACCAAACCAAAGAAATTAAGATACGTATTGAAATAGCACGTACATCATTTATAAAACTTAAAAATTTCTTTATTGTCGGGATATAAGGTTAGAACTACGCCTGAGAATGCTTCAATGTTACGTGTTCTCTACCTTCTTTATGGTTTGGAATTTTGGACACTAAAACAAGTTCATCTGAATAAGTTGGCCGCCTTTGAATTTTGGTGTTACAGAAGAATCCTACGAATATCATGGATTCAAAGAATGTCAAACATGAAAGTAACTAGAAGGATAGGAAATGAGGCGGAAATAATATTAACTATTTAAAGACGAAAACTTGAGTACTTGGGACATGTCATGAGAGGGCAAAAATACGCATTATTTCAACTTATTATGCAGGGCAAAATCCGAGGAAAGCGAAATGTGGGAAGACGAAGAATATCCTGGCTTAAGAACTTAAGGGAATGGTTTGAATGCAGTAGTGCAGAACTTTTTAGAGCGGCAGTCAACAGAGTCCGCATAGCCATGATGATTTCCAATCTTCGATAGAAGATGGAACTTAAAGAAGAAGAATAAAGCAGTTAAAACGAGGGCAGAGAACATAATTTCAAACTTACCAGGATCCAAACCATATGCTTAAAGCACTAAGACTCTTTTAGATTGCTGGTTTTTTTATGAAGAAATGCTTGAAAGTAGCACGGTCTGCACCAATGCATTGATAGATAAAAAAGCGTTAGCCTACAAAGATAAAGCATATTGCAGCAGGACCAATATTGTTGAAATAAAGGCATTATTTGGCCTCCTCTACCTAGCGGGTGTATATAGAAATGGTCATCGTAATCTAAAAGACCTTTGGCGAACAAATCGATATGGTACAGGAATCGATATATTTCGTTCAGTGATGGCACTCAATAGATTTACATTTTTATCGCTGTGCTTACGTTTCGATAATGTAGACAATCGACAAGAAAGGCAACAGTCTGATAAGTTGTCTCCTATTAGGGCACTTTTCCAAAGATTGATAGCACCAATTTCTGGTAAAAATCGAAATATCACTTTAGATAATTGGTATACCTCTTAAGAACTTGTGAAAATTTCGCGTTAACGACATAGTTTAACTTCAGTAGGAACTCTGAGAAAAAACTAGTAAGAGATTCCTCCAGAATTTATACAGATTAAGAAAAGTCCTCGGTTTTTGGATTTCAGGAACATATAACTATGGTATCCTTTGTAACAAAAAAGGGAAAAACGTGATTGTATTATCATCACTTCATCACGATGATGAAATAGATAAATCTACCGGCGATAAACTTTTACCAGAAATAATAAGTTTATATAACTTTACAAAATGAGGGGTTGATACGGTGAATGAGTTGATAGGAAGTTACAGTGTAGCTTGTAATTGTAGAAGGTGGCCACTAAGAATATTTTTTCACTAATGGACACAGCTGGAATCAACAGGCAGGTAATTTACAGAACAAACACTAGTGACTATTCAAAGAAACGTCGTATATTCCTAGAAGATTTGGGATTAGCATTAGTTACGCCAATTATGGAAGAACGAAAAAGTAATCCGCGACTTACAAAACATTTACGATCCAAAATAGTTCAAGTTTTGGGAGAAAGTGACCAAGTTCCAGAGAAAAAGCAACGTATGGGACGTGGTCGGTGTCAAAAGTGTTCCAGAAAATCTGACCGGAAAACTAAACAAACGTGCGATCAATGCCAAAAATTTTATTGTTTAGATCACCTTCATCGCATTTGCGGGACTCACATTTGAGGAACTTTTTTCAAGCTTGGATATCCAATGTCCTGCTTTTTTATATTTTTATTTGAACCATTTGAAAAATCTTTTTTGGAAAATCTCTTATTTTGAATCATTATCTTTTGTTTGTGAATTTTTTATGAATCTAATGTTTGTTTGTATGAATTTTATTATATTGTAAATTTTACCTAATACGCGGTCAAATTTAATTGAGTGGTAAAAACTGCCAGAGGTTTTGCAATCAATTTTAAATGGGGTAAATCAGGGGTGCTCAAACGGTCGATCGCGATCGACTGGTCGATCGCGAGTGCTTTTTGGGTACATCTCGAGAAGAAAAAAAAAGTAGGTAGGTAACTAAACTACTTTCAGCAGAGTTAAACGTTTTTATTAATACTGAACTATACAAATACATAGAATGCTTGACTAAGCATCATTGCAATTCAAAGAAGTGGGGACAACAAAATACTGTCCACACAGCATATTTTATATTTACATATATTAACTAATTATTTTATTAATTCAATATTTATTATAATTATTAATCAAATTTGGGATGATATTCTATCAACTACAAAAATGTATTACGTAATAAAATAACACTGCTTGCGGCAAAAGGTGGCTTTATCAAAGGAACGCGCGGCACTTGTCAAAGAAAAGCCGTGTTGTTTCTAGACGAGAGACAGTACAGTCTAGTTTCGGGCGGCGCGTTCGAC